TGTTCAATCCATCAATTAAACATCTTCCTCAGACTGCAGCACTGCATAATTAATTGACTGGGTTTTCAAATGTTAAACCTGATTTATCAAAACTGGCTAAAGGGCAAGAATTTTGAACCACTGCTGAGTGTGGTTTTTGATTTTCTGGTATCCTGAGCACTCATTACACCTCAACCACCACATATACTCATTCCTCAAAAAAATTCACAGCAATCAAATGTGAAGTATTTGACTTAAATTGCTCATTATATTTTTTTCAATGTGGAGCCCACACTCAATACCATTTGGAAGGTTGAACTAAAATGACTCTCCTACAATATAAAACAGGATTTGGTATCATTCTCTGCATAGAAAAGGCCTTGGCACAGTCTGGGATATCTAGGGAAGATGTGAATTACATAAACGCACATGCTACATCTACACCAGCTGGAGATATTAAAGAGTTCCAGGCTCTTCTTCATTGTTTTGGCAGGAATCCTGAGGTATCTTTGATGCATACTTTTACTTCTGTTGTTAAGCTTTATAAAATTTGTTTTTGAATATTATTTCACTGTAATTCTTGATATTTGCAGTTAAGGGTGAACTCCACAAAGTCTATGATTGGTCATCTGCTTGGGGCTGCTGGTGCTGTGGAAGCTGTTGCAGCAGTACAGGTACATAATTTATGGATTTGATTATGGTTGAATTTTCAGAAAAAAGTACGAGGAGATATAGTTTCCTATGCTGGATTATGTCTGAGCAAAAGGAAATTGAAGAAAAGTTACTGTTGTGTCCAATTTTCTTTCACTGCCCTTCTTTTACGTGTATTATTCTATCAACATGGTCTTGTGTATTTCTTGCAGGCAATACGGACAGGTTGGGTTCATCCAAATATAAATTTGGAAAATCCAGATGAAGAAGTGGTATTGTGCCTTGTTCTGTAAACTTCTCTTTTCTCAGACATTAGGCTTTCATGATATCTCTTATGCTCTATGAGCTTTCACTTCTTGATGAAAAATATAAATACAGTTGTTCACTCTTAATTTATGGGAACGAGACTATCTAACACAACCAGCATCTATTCAGGACACAAATGTGCTTGTTGGCCCAAAGAAAGAGAGGTTGGACATTAAGGCAGCATTGTCTAATTCATTTGGGTTTGGTGGCCACAATTCAACTATCGTTTTTGCTCCATACAAATGAAATAGTTCCAGTGTTGCTCCCCCAACAGTTGTGATGCCGAAGGTGTGTAAGAAGGACAATTAAATGATAAAATGAATATCAGACACTCCTGATTTTCATGCTTTTTATGTCTCTCACTATTGATAGGTCTGCAACATCATACAGAGTACAGAGAAGACGACATCGGTAGATGACCAATTGTTAGAACAGCTGCAGGCTACATTTAACCATACATACTGAGTTGGTTGCACAGCAAAGGTTTAGAGAAGACTCAAGTGTGCCTTTGCAAGGAATAATACTAGGCATCAAGTGTCTGTTGTAAAGCTACTCTTGCTTTTGTTGTTGTGGAAGATTTCGTTCACTCATAAACAGCCATTAATGGGACTTTACTCTTTTAGTTGAGAATAACGATTGTGCAAGCACATGTAGTTTGCACGATTTTAATTGTTGTTTTCATGTACAAGCTGCTGATAAGATTTTGTTTCTAAACCCACTTGTAATGAAATAGATCCCTTAGGTTGGTTCAACTTCTGAAGTACAATGGTAGTAGGATCGGTACATGCAAAAATTTTTGCCATCTTATTGCACCCATGATTTTCACTTGCAGGAGAGATTATTTAAGGGTAGGCTTCCAAACCAAACTAAATTTCAGTTAAGAAGACATCGGGTCTGTTTGGAATTGCTTTCACATCAATCATAGCAATCCCAAACATACTAAGTTCAATCGGATATTAAAATTAAATATTGAAAAAAAAAAACTTATTTTTTGAAATTGTGAGAATTGATGAATCACAGCTTACAATGATTTTAACAATCATAAGGTTTTAAATTATGTACAAAAAACCAAGATGACAAGAAAATTGAATTTCAGACATCACCTTCAAGCCTGAAGTCTAGTCCAAAAAATTTTCAACTAGGCAAAAGATCTCAGCTATGATGGCAGACTGGAACACGTTTAGGCAGTTTTGCTTTTCCTCTTGCTTCCTTTCTTCTGAGGCTTATTAAACTTTGTGAGTTTCACTGAAAGTGCACTCGAGGCACTCTTACCTTCAAGCTTTTTCGTTAATCTTACCACGCTGGCCATGCCTTTCCTTGCAGCTGCACGATGTTCTGGCCTTCGACTCATCATCTTGCGATCAAGGGGCCAGTATGCATATGGTTCAAGCTTATCCTTCCTCTTCACATCCCCACTTGCCTTCTTGCTAGCATACTCACTTCCAGTATAAGCCCACCCGGACTCTGATGCTTTTCTTCGCTTCTGGGTCTTCTTTGAAGAGCCTACAGAAAAGAGACTCCGTCCTTCACTCTTTGTGTCTGAATCAGGATCATCAGAAGGTGTAACCTTCTTTGGTTTCCCTCCCTCATGAATTATCAAGCGTCCTTCAGAGTCAAACTCAGGCTCATCATCTGAATCATGCTTCCGCTTGAGACGTGAAGATGATTGAAGGGCTGCCCTTGTTTTATGCCGATCTAGCAAGTCCAATGGCTCGTCTTCTAACTGGTCATACAAGTCCTCAGGCAAGCTCCTATCAGCTCTACGCATTTTCTTGGAACTGGGACCAAAAGGTAAGATGGTATCAGTTTAGATAATTTGCAACAGGAGATGCATAGGCATTGATAACATAAGCACTGAAGCTTTTCTCCATAAACGTGCAGAAGCACCTTACCATGACCAGGATTAAATCAATATGATCCTCCTACCTCAGAAAAACACAACAAATATTGATGTGTAAGTTACAATACCATTGGTGATTCAGTCATTGTAAACCCAATTCAAGTGCTTGACACAGCTACATGTCTAACATGTATACTTTTATCAAAAGTTTTTGTAGGTTTTACCATTAATATCAAGACTCAGAAATATCAACAAAGGCCAAAAAAATAAATATCAATAAAGGATTTTCACCACAATGTCTAGTGTCAGAAAGATTGATTAGGATAAAATAAGGAGTCTGAGTGACATTAGGCACAATTTAAACAACAAACATTAATATAAATCATAACCTCAAATATTGGTACCCAAATTTACTGGAACTTCCTGCTTGGGGGTAATCATTAACATAAAATTTAGAAGAGACCATGACAACTGACCGGAACAGTGAAGCTTCAGATTTCAGCTGTGTTGAACCCCTGCTCCTTCTGCTAGAAATTGTAGCATCAGCATCCACGTATTCTCTGCCACTATCCTCCGTTCCCTCACCATCAAAATCAGAAAATATTTTTGTATGATTCCATCTACTAAGCCTGCACCCAAAATATAAAGAGAAAAATCAAGACTATGCATCTTATTTTGGCCAAAAAAAAAAAAAAAAA